ATCTCTAAAAATGCAGTCACACAGTAGGATAGTTTGGGAAGTCACTGAGGGTTCTCCTCAGGATCTGTGACATCCCCTACCTTTTCTTTCCTTTGGACTCCTGAAATAACTGTTCATGTTTGAGCCACTCCCATTTGCCCTTCTACGTCCTACCTTGAAAACCTGAACCTTGAATTCTTGAAGACTAGAACCATTGATCATTATCGAGAGTTTTCTCAAGTGACTCCCGTCATTTGGGATGTAATTAACTATAGGGGCTTGCCTCTATAGGGAACTTGGAACCCAGATAAAATAAACCCTATTTAATCTTTGTATTAGATAGAGGAATTTGTCAGTCATATATAAAAGGTTCGCAGACTAAATGGATGTCACAAATCTCTTAGTTTGCAGGATTGGGTCTATCGTCGAGGTCTATACTTATCTTTCGGGAAAGTGTAGTATTCGCGGTATCAGACACGATTATGCAAACTATTGGACGAATGAGATCCACTTGGTCTCATTTTTTTTAAAAAAATTAAAACATACTACTTTTAAAACTCAAACTATATATTTATTATATTAAATTAAATTTCCAAAATTATTTTCATATTTCATATTTTCAAATCTATATCTATCGAAAAAGTTGACCGACACCCACATCTATATATAGTCACCAACAACCAGTCAATAATGCACAAGCTTTTCCTCCTTTACATTGTACTATTTTTGAAACTTTTCCAGCTATTTTATTTGTATTTTTTTTTTGTGGGAGAAATATTTTTAAACGTCATGTTGGCTTTTCATCTTATGGGATTTGCTTACGAAGTTCTTTCGGTACTCCATTTTATTTACCAATTGACTGCAAAATTTATGATGCCTGACAACCAAATTTGCTGACTACCTGTTTTCAGTTTTGTTTTTATGCATGAAGGATTATCTTTTATTGTCAAGTTTGATCATTTCAAGTCACATGCTCTTTTTTTATAAACTGCATCGCTGGATCTGTCAACTCTTGCAAATTTTTAATTTACCCAATGTTTTTTACATGAGAGTATCCTACATAAACAATATGGTTTACTTTTTTTAAACTATGCGGTAAGAGTACTAACTTATGTTGTTTATGGATGCTAGAATGCTTGCAACTGTTGAAGCTCTTCCAAGTGCTGATTCTAGTGGAAGATTACTTTTACTCCTCAAAGCTCTCAGTGAGGTATATGATTCTTCTGTCTCGAAGAGAGCCAAAAAAATGTTCAACTATATTGTGGGATCACTTGTTGATGCTGAGGTATGATGTTCATTTTACTTTATCCCCATTTCACCCTCCCCTTTTCATCTTCTTTTTAATAGATTTGTAGCCGCACAAATTCTTATATCTTGAGTATTGAGACTTCTGTTTTATTTTTTAATCACATGGAATTTCTAAGCTTCCCTTATTTTTAAGAAGGCGAAGTCTTGAACATTGTTGAAATGGGTTGATTCTTTATTTGTCATTGCTATATTTTCTTTGTTAGTCTTATACATGTCATGTGCCTACTTTATTGTGGTATTTTTTCTTTTTAATGTATGGTCTCCTTTTCTTTGGGTTGCCTCTTTTTCTTCTTAATCGTTTTTCATATGTTCTATCTGTTTACCGTACTTATGCATCTTCTCCCTTTTGTTGCATATTCACAAATCATTTTGTGTTTTTTTGACACTCGCTTATTTTTTTAAAATTTATTTATGTAATATGTCATCTCTCATTTTATCATTGTTAGCTTTACGAAACTTTTGCGTTAGCATTTTCATTTACACTAGAGACAATATGCCTCATTTTGTATCCGGTATAAGCTACTTGATAATTGCATTGGCTTTTCTGGAAAAAAATTTCCAGGGCATAGTATTATGCATTATCATTTAATAATTTGAAATCTTTTTATGCTAGAATGGATCCGCTCATTTGCCAACTTAACGGTTACTCATTTCAATTTTGTTCATTTATATCACACCCAATTCTCATTCAACGCTGTCATTCATCTTCATCCTGCAAACAATTTAAGTTTCAATATATGTGAACTGCTAAAGATAGATTTTTTAATATTGTCCATAAAGCACGAAACCTTTCCATTAATTGCTTCAGCATGTGTAAACTTTTAGTGAAGCAAAAATCAACTCTTAGGATGTTAATTGAGTAGAACAAATAAATTTTCGTCATTGCTTACAACCAAGTTCAAATAACAGGAAAGTTTGGTACTCGCCAAAACTCAAAAAAAAAAAAAAAATGAAGAAAGCATATTCTTGGATCTAATTAAACAACTTTATGGCTAGGTATGCGAGCATTTATTATATTATTCTTTTGGCTCATTAAGTGACTCTGTTTATCTCTTCAAGAATTTGGTGAGACTACTAAATAAGAGAGGAGCCTCTCTACAAAGTATATCTCTCTTCGGCTAACCTATTGTCACTCCATATTAAGAATTGTTTGGGCTAATAGGATGTTTGGGACCCTTAACTTATCCGCTTCACGTGTCCTTGTGTTTGACATGTTTAATATTTTGCTTTTCGCTGCAGATCATTGACATAAAATCTCTTGAGCTGCTTGTAAAATTTGGTGCCGGATTTCATGGAAAAATTCATATTACTGAGGTGATTATCATTTCTTGTTTTCCCTGTTTATTGTAATTATTTTTTTCAATTTTGGTATATTTATTGTTGATTTTTTTATTAGGTGAATGATGCTGATCATTTTTTGGAGAACCCCTTCTCTAATTTTTGCCTTGGGCAGTTGGTTAAAGCGCGAATTATTGCAAAAGTTCCGCAGACAGGAAAGAATAAAAACTCTTTCAAATGGTTGTTATCAATCAAACCTTCAATTCTAACGGGTATTTGATCTTTACATTTACAAGTTGCTACAATTGTTGCATTACACCAATTTTTCTTATGGTTGCTGTTATCTTTTGACTTCCTAGGAAACATGGAGGCAAGAAAAGCTTCTGTTAAAATTGACGACATTTCAGTTGGCAGCATTGTTAAAGGTTATGTGATGAAGGTTGACAAGGAATGGGTGCAAGTGTCAATTACCCGGCATTTAGTTGCTCATCTTTTTATTCTTGATAGTTCATCTGAGCCTCACGAGCTTCAAGAATTTCATAAAAGATTTAGTGTTGGACAAGTTGTAACAGGGCGGGCTATAAGTGTAAATAAAGAGAAGAAGAGGGTGCGGTTGTCATTGCACTCTTTATTTGAGCGTAAGACACCACTGGTGTCTGAAGCCGAGAAGAATGATAATGACGATAGCTCAAGCTCTAATAACACTGAAATGGAACATATACTGACTGGTTATGTGATTGGTGGTAGAATTAAAAAGATATTTCCAAATGTTGGTGGAATGTTTGTGCAAATTGGGCCCCATCTTTTTGGCAAGGTCCATTATACTGAAATTGCAGATTCTTGGATAGCTGATCCTTCTTCCGGATATGAAGAAGGACAGTTTGTGAAATGCAGGGTCCTGGAGATTAGCAGATCTTCCACTGGCTTTGCGCACGTTGATTTGTCTTTACGTGCGTCTTTGATTGATCCATCTGAACTTTCAAAAGAAAAGTAAGCTTCATGATCTTCCATTTCTATCATTTGATAAAATTCTCTTATGTATTTTGTGATTATCACCGTGTTGTGTGGTTGATAAAGAGTTTTTTGGAATAATTGTTAAAGTAACTTTGTTTTTGTTAACACTATATTTACTTCTCAGTCTGAAGTGTTCATTCTAACCTGTATTAAGTAAATTCCTCCAAATTCTATTTCATTTCTCCTTCCTTGTCAAGCTTTCTTCAAAGTACGAGACGCTGCTTTTTGAAATTCTAGGTCGTCTTTATATTGTAGTAGGTTTTTTGGAAAAAAAAAAAAAAGATATCGGTCTATCCCAACAGAATACAGAACTGGGCATCATCTCATGGATTATGGCTTAGGGTTTTTCATTATTCTAACATCAACTTAACATTTCATATCTGAGATTGGAACTTGCAATAACGTCACTGTACACAGGCTAATGATATTGTTTAGCATCGTAACTGCCTGCTAACTTCAAGAATTTTATGCTTTTATTCCTGAATTTTTTTATTAGCTGTTGTTGGGTCTTTGAGTGAATTTATCAGTATTTTCCTTAAATTTTGTCCGGTTATGACTTTTCCATCTCATTATTCTGATGGCTCTTTTAAGAAATTGCATTAGCTATGACCTTCAGGTTCTTAAGCATCAGGTCATAATGTGCAGGTACCCACACTTTGGCATTCTTATTTTTTTAGCTTTACAAATTTTACATTTGGAACTTTCTAATTAACTCCACATCCAAGGATGAGGATATGGATAGATCGGAGGGAGCTTGTGTGTGATCTACTTTGTTGTTCCAAACTTGGTGGGAGATAAGAGGGTTGTTAAGGGAGGAGAGCTATAAAAGCAAAAGAGATAGTGCATGAATGAGAGAGGAAAACTAAAAATGAGGAGGAAGGGGGAACACCATTGCTAGCCTCCCATTCAATATTTCCATTTTCCCTGAAGAATTTTATTTTTTTTAGGGTTGTTAAGGGAGGAGAGCTACAAAAGTAAAAGAGAGAGTGCATGACTTAGAGAGGAAAACTAAAAATGAGGAAGGGAGAACAGCATTGCAAGCCTCCCATTCAATATTTCCACTTTTCCTTGAAGAATTTTATTTTATTTTTACTGGGTAGCTAACTTTTCCATTGTAGATGGTAACACATGACCTTGTGTATGCTTCAAAAGTTAGTGTGAAACTTTTATATCGCATCATAGGAGAATGGGAAGGTGGGACTGCATTTTGACAGAATCTCCCATTGTATTCCACGGGAAAAATTTATGATCCAACAACTGATAATATTTTGCAGTGATTATACACATTTGTTTCCCTCATTAGTTTTTTCAAATTGGAAGTTTCAATTCAATTTTTTGGAATGTTTATTCCGCCAATTCAATTTTTGGAATGTTTATTCCACCAGTTCGTATTGAAAATTTCTTGAAGTTGGCATTTCCCTTTTCTCTTTCCATTTACTTGTGATACTGATTTCTGACATTCTACAAATAAAAAGAAAACATAAAATAAAATCTCATACTACCGTGTCTCTCATACCTATCTCATTCCACTCCTATATCTCTTGTACCCTCATTGCCCATGCTATTCCCCTTCCTTATCTCCATCATTAAGTATATCGTTGTCTTATTGTAAAGGATGGCCTAAAAAAATATTACATGCATCCATCGGTACGATGCCACATCTAACATGATTCTATAGCTTGTCACCAATAAAAACATTTACTAAACACCTCTTATCAAAATTGATTTCTTTCCGCTTTTTCAACCATGTCGAGGAATATAGTTGAGTATGCTTTTGTCTTGTGAAACTCAGTTTGTCTACCATTTTTTTTGACATTAAATTCTTATAATTGTCTCTGTATATAATGAGTTGTACTCCTTTCTTTTCATAGCATTTGTATGAATGATATTATGTCTAAGCTACTATTGATCCCTCTTGGGCTTAGTCTGTAGAATTGGTGGAACCACAAGCATTTATCCATATTTGCTGGTAACTGGTACTCAATCTCATTCTCTCTCTCCAAAGTCTTCACTATCTTCTTCTTCTACTCTATGATGCTCAGTAAAAAAATCTCTTGTTTGGGTAGTTGGATGCAATTGTACTCATATCCATGACATTTTAAGTATTTCATTGTTGGAGATGTCTTGAGGGTGCTGGTTTAATCAGTCCTCTTATCCTCTCGTGCTAACTTCTCATGGGAGACATGTCATGGATTTTGGTCAATGTGCTCTTATTGCTCGAATTGGTGGTCAAACCTTATGCGGAGAGTGGAGTTAACCTGATGCTACTGTGCTGCTTCTCCATTTTCAGGGTTAAAGTCTGGATATCCTATAAAGCTCAATTAAATTTTAACTGTGGTAAAGTTCAATTAAATTTTAACTGAACCACATTGCTAATCGATGATCTTAGTTCTCTAAATTACCATACTATGATGTTCTACTATGGCTCTATCTTCTCACACTTCAACATAAACTATTCAATGTCAGTAGCACACTTCTCTATTGAAAGTTCTTTCTGCTGCAAATGATGAAGTCTCAGAAAATATCTGTGCGGACATGTTCGCGCCAAATTAGGAATTAGATACTTAATTGTAAAATTTGTTAAAATATTAGCTCTCATTCATTTATTGCTAAAAATACTTTTTGTAAAGAAAAAAAAAACATTTATATAAACACTCGATATTGTGCCTAAGGCATAACCACATGCTCTAACTATTTAGACGAGAACCTGATTTTCTATGTACAACGTTCTAGTAGATAGATTTTTGACACATTGAATGCTCAAATAAACTCAAGTGATGCAAGAAAATATGAATGTGATTCTCTATACGCAAATTGACAAATTGACAATGTTCAATCGACCAATTAGCCTCTATGATGGGTGTAGCCGCGTAGTCATTTTATATCGTAGTCAGAGGGGTTCTCTCTCAAAATGAATCTTTCAATTTCAAATATAATTGCTTTAAGCAATTCACTCCAATGATAGCGAGGTTGACATAAATTCCTTACTGGAGATAATCATATTTTCTAAATACCTCTAAATCCACTTAAAAATCACTTTGAGTTTAAATCAAAGAAAAATTACAAAAATCTCAAAAAGAATTATAAAAGTCAACGCCCCAGTGAAATATGTCATTTTGAGTTTATATTGTAAATTTCTATGATTATGTTCATTAATCTCTATAATCGTTTATCAAGAGTGAAAAATTTAAGATAATCTAAGCTCTTAATGTTTCAATGTCATATCAAGTGCATTTCTATGATTATGTTCATTAATCTCTTGTTAATGAGAAATTCACTTCAAATAAGGACCATTAAATTATGATAAAAAATAAAAACCTATGAGTTTCCTAATAGTAGAAATCTCGTAAGTAATGAATAATGGAGTGTACTTGATAAGATACAAGTAGACCATAGTTCACGTTAACTCGGGATGTCAGAATTATGGGATTTTGGTTGAATTTCTTTTCACTCTTTCACCGACGACTCTGAGCTAAAGGTGGTATATTTATGCACAACCCTAAAACCCAATCTATTGCTGCGATAAGCTTAGCATTTAGATTTGCTGACTAGCCTTAATCAAAAGATTTCTTTAGTGACTAAGCGAGTTAATTAATTATAGGAGCTTGCACAGTTGCGCCTATGGAAAAGCTTAGAATCAAATCATAAAGTCATCACAAAATTATATGGGAATCGCTGGGTAGTGTATAATATGTATTTTAATTTGTCTTTTGAAAATTTTGATATGGGGTAATCTCTTTTAGAATAATCGGGTATGAATTGTTGGAGCCCTGAAGTCTTGCACGAATAATACCAAGGAAGTTTTTTTCCTTTTGAATGCTATCAGAGCTTCCTTTAAGCTTTCATCAATGTTCTATGAAATTGATCTCCTTTCTGAGGATTTTCTCATTCTCCTTTCTTCTTTCAACCTTGTAACCAATAACCTTTCATCTTCTCTTTAATTTTCGGCGCACTGTCTTCTTTAATTTAGCTCACCTTAAATTATTTTCTTGAATGAAATAAGCATGAGCAAACTAAGTCTCACAAATAATAATGGAAATATTTATTTTATATTTGTTTCGATTAAAAAAAAATTCAGCAGGAACAAAAATTTAACAAGTTCTTCTTCTGTAGAATCACTGAGCATTTGTGCATTAGATTAATCAGTTTTATGCTTGTTTTGAACCTAGTTAATATTTATTGAACATCATGAACTCTTTTTGATACTTAATTTTTTTAATGGGTTGAGGCATAATGGTTCAGTTTTTATGAGGCAAGGAATTTTGTACTCGTCTCAGATTGAGAATGATGTTTTTTTTTAAAGTAGAATTGAGCAAACATTGAAGACCTATTGCTTTTATTTCATCATTTACCAATCTAGCAATGTCTCTAATTTGGCTTTCATTTCATATTTAAGGTCTGCGATTTTATGGTGAATTACTTCTATGTTAATTCTGAAGTTTTTAGCCAGTTTTCCTTTCCCATACTGGAAACTAAGGACATCTTTGTTAATTATTCCTGCCCATTATTTGATAGAGACTGAAGCAAAAGTATATTTACTACTTTATAGCTTTTCTTATACCATTTTCATTCCCTGATTGTTTATGCAATAACTCTTTCGTTTTAATATCTGCTAACCTACTTTTTCAGTGTGTTTGTGGACTGTTTTTTTTAATGATTTCACATTTTTTTAAGTTTGCATTTTTTTCTTGGAAGGGATCCATCAAGCAAAAGATTTGAGAAGATTGAAGACCTTTATCCTAACATGGAAGTACATGTAAGTCTTCTTTTTTCTTGTCTTTTTTGTCTATATCTAATGAGCAATTTATTCTTTGCTTTGGTTTATAGTTGTTAGATTTTTTGTGATTAAAAGTTGAAACATGAACTAGGATAAAAAATGATGTGCTACATAGGGAAAGATCTAGGAAGGCCCGCTTGACTTCAACCAAGATTATATGCATAAAAGAGATGAGAGGATCCTATCCACTAACAATAAACAAAAGCCACAGCTATAGTGTATAAAATGAAGTAGCACTTACCTTCCTTTCTTGTAACTATGTCTAAGCTCAATCACTCTCTCATATGTTGGATTACTCCCTATCAAAATACCAGCTCCAAAAACCAAGTCAATCAATGTCCGCAGTGTTGCTCTCCAATTTTATAATTCTACGTCTAGCATCACTGGAGAGAAGTAGAAAGTTTAAGGATATGCACTTAAAGAAATTGTAGCCATGTGGGTATTTTATTCTTCTTCTCACGCAAAATGTTAATGCAAGTATAAGAAACCATATATTTAACAATATGCAAGAATTGAATGAGTTGAAATTTAAAGTTATCAGCCTTTTTGAAATATGCTTTTTAGATTAATACTAACTGTATATGCTTATCAACCGTAGTTTATCATAATATATCCATTAATTCAAATTACTAATCAGTTATTCTTTAATTTGGAAGGTATCCATTAATTCTTATTTTGAATTAATTTTTTAAGCATGGGTTTGAAATGCATATAGTTTCCTTTTTCAATCTGATTCATTAAGTTTTTTAAACCACATGCACTAAAATTGAGCTTGCTTATGATTTATTTTCTTATTGCTTGGGCTTGCATTCTTGCAACTTAAGAATGTGCTCAGCTTTTGTGACGTAGTTATTTCTAGTCAACGTAATGAGCTATAGGCATATATGCTTTATGCCAAACATGCCATCAAACTCGTTTAATCATTGATTCATTATATAAAAATGTCAAATAATGTTATTGGGCTCTTAGTTCAATGGTATTCTTGTGTGATATTTTGTTTTTTAAAGTTTTCAATTTTTTTTGGATCGCTGACTTTCTATGTATATTGCAATATAGACAATATTTTAACTGAGGAATGTGAAGCAGCTTATTTTGTATACATGGGCGGCTTCTATATAGCAACCATTTTGTTGGCTAAAAAAGTGATAATAATATCTAAAAGATGAGAGTTATCGCTATCTTTATAGATAGCAATCTTTAATGGCATTCGAGCTAGCACATTGCAATTGATATATTGCTGATTGCACTTACCTCTGGATAACATTATAATCTAATAAAATTGTGCTTCATACAACAATAAACCAAAATGCTGAAATAGATTTTATCGTGCCTTGATGGTTCTACTTTTTATTTTGTATGAACATTTTTATTCGTATTTTTTGCCCTCAATTTTTTTTTTAAATTCATCAATTCGTTAAGGTAAATCATTTCTTTAATATTTTATAATATGATCAAGCTTTGTTCTGTGAGGTAATATACATAGATTGGATGATCTTTATTAGCCAAAGTTGACATATCTTTCTGTGAAAATGCTGTTATTTTTTTTAATTAAATTTAATGGTATTTGGTTTAAACCATTGAAACTGGATTTTGAAATTTGCAGGGTTACGTGAAGCATGTTACATCTAGAGGATGTTTTATTATGCTATCACGAAAGTTAGATGCGAGAATCTTCTTATCAAATTTGTCCGACGGATTTGTGGAAAATCCTGATAAGGAATTTCCTGCTGGAAAAATAGTACACGGAAGGTAAAATTCACAATTTATTTATTAATATGTTCTTTTCTTATAAATATTATGTGAACATAAAATATTTTCAGGGTGCTTACTGTGGAGTTTTCATCTAAGAGAGTGGATGTAACTTTGAAGAAAAATGTTGATAGTCAATTACCAAAACCTGATTCCTGTAGCTTTTCAAGTATACATGTTGGAGTTATTATTTCTGGCCATATTAGACGGGTAGAAACTTACGGTTTATTTATAGCAATTGACGGAACAAATCTGGTAAAAAATAGTTTTTGTTACACTTCCATATTCAAAATTGCAAAATTGCGTAATTTGATAAATGCCGTGTTTTCAGGTTGGTCTTTGCCATATTTCAGAACTTTCTGATGATCATACCGTTCATATTGAAACCAAATATAGAGCTGGTGAACGGGTTGAGGCAAAGATTTTAAAGGTTAGCTTTTTGAAATTGGTAATTTTAATCTTATCTCAAGCTCTTTTTTAGTGTCGTTTGATTATTTATGTATTAATATAACTGTTTATTGAAATCTTCCAAACACCATTTTAGCAGTATAGTACTGTTTATTAAACTCTTCCAAATGCTCGTGTGCTTGACTTTTCAAGTTTTTTAAATAGATTGATGAAGAAAGGCAACGAATCGCACTTGGAATGAAGAAATCTTATGTTGATGAAGCAAAAAATGCTGAAGTTACGGTCCTTAGTGCTGCAATGGACTGCACACTGCCGGCATGGAAGCAGGACCTTTCATGTATTAAAGACATAACTGACCATCAGAATGATGGTGCAACAGACATTTTTTTGCAAGCAGAGTCAAGGGCTTCAGTGCTACCGTTACAAGTTTCTCTTGATGAGTCTGAGAATACTCATGTGGAGAGTGTCCTTATTGCAAACCAAGACAATGTCAATGAAGCGACGGAGATTGAGAAGAGGAAAAATAGGCACTTGAAAAAAAAGGAAAAACAGAACAGGTGATATGCAGTTCAATTTTTAATTTTGTGAAAAATGTCAAGATAGTTTCTGACTCTTTGCAAGGGCCGTTTTAGTCCCGGAGTCTAAAAAGATGCCAATTTTATCCCTAGAATCTTTTAATATGGACTGAAATTGTCCCCAAGGATGACTATTTTAGCCCCAACTGAAAAAGTCTGAGGACTAATTTGGCACTTTTATAGATTGTGGGACTAAAACTGCCTCGTGTAAACAGTCATGGGACCACTATTTTGGCAGTTTACTCTTTTATTTCTTTATTTGTATGTTTCTGTTCCTTGAACTCTTGGGTTTTGTGGTCATGCAGAGAACTTGAGATACGTCTATCTGAGGAGAGACGTTTGCAAAATGACATGCCAGAAACAGTTGATGACTATGAAAAGTTGGTGAGAAGTTCCCCAAATAGTAGTTTTTATTGGATAAAATACATGGAGTTCATGTTAGCTCAAGCAGATGTTCAGAAGGCACGCTCCGTTGCTGAAAGGTAAATGCCTGGGTTTTAAGATAGTTTGAAGGTTCACCATTTACTGCTATCGGCTTTTCAAGAAAGTGTAGCAACAAATGATTTGAATGTCAAGTCCTCAGATTATGTTTTTAGGAGTCTATGCCTTAAAAGATTCTTTAAATCTCTGCAGTAATTTTGATTAAATTTGTTAAATTTATCATTTTTTACAGTCTATGATCATAAGTTAATCTAACTTCTAGCTTTTTCTGCAACTGAGATGCTTTTAAATCTGCAGCATTTTGAATTGATCTCTTGTTTGCTTTTTTTTTCCTATGATCACAATTTATCTTACTTTCAACTTTTCATTTTGCCAGTGTGGTGGTTGAATGGTTCACCAGAGCTAATTTAGTTTTTTTTTTCATTGATTTGGTTGCATGATTTTTATTTTCATAGGTGGCACGACAAAAGTATAATATGTTAATGTCTGCAGTTTTTTGTTTCTATCATTCTTAAACAATGCAAGGCTGCAGCGGGCTCAATTATTTTTTTTTTTTTTTGCTTCCTTGTAGGGCTTTAAAAAGGGCTTTAAAAACTATTATTTTCCAAGAAGAAGTAGAGAGGCTTAATATCTGGGTGGCTTATTTTAATCTTGAAAATGCATATGGGAATTCACCTGAGGTAAAATGCCAAGTTGCGTTTTTGCATTTCTATAATTTTGATCTTTTGCTCTGTTACTTTATGTTAGACTTTTTACGCTTTGATGTGGTTGTATTTTAATTTTATTAAACTTTTAATGACTATGGATTGTAACTGATCAGGAGAATGTTGAAAGAGTCTTTAAAAAGGCTTTGCAAACATGTGATCCAAAGAAGTTGCATCTAGCCCTTCTTGGGTTGTATGAACGAACAGAACAACATAATCTGGCAGATGTTTTACTGGATAAAATGACAAAAAAGTTCAAAAAATCTTGCAAAGTAAGTGATTGTTTCATATTTGGCCTTGTAATTCTTATGTGATGATAATTCTTATCAATTTTTTTTATCCAGGTCTGGCTGTGTCGTGTGCAACAATTTGTAAAACTCAGAAAAGATGGTCTTCAGTTTGTTATTAATCGTGCTCTTTTGAGCCTTCCAATGAAAAAACATATAAAATTCATCTCACATGCTGCTATTCTAGAATTCAAATATGGAGAGCCTGAAATGGGAAGGTCCATGTTCGAAGGCATATTGCGTGAACACCCGAAGAGAACTGATATATGGAGTATTTACTTGGATCAAGTAACATGCACTATCCATTCTATAATTCAAACATGAAATTTCTTTTGCTATTAGCCTTTATGGCTTTTCTATTTCCTGAATTCTTCATTCTATATAGGAAATTCGCGTGGGAGACAATGAAGTGATACGAGCGTTATTTGAAAGAGCTACATGTTTGAGTCTCCCAGCAAAGAAAATGAAGGTATTAACCCTTAATTTTCCATTGTCAGAATTTCAAATATATCGATTCATGATTTTTTTTTCCGTGAATGCTTTTCCTATTCATGTTGGTCACAATTGTATGTTTTTTACTAATTGGTAGTAAAGTCCTCTCCAAAAGAGTATAAAATATTGACTCGAAGCTCATTGCGCTTTTAGCCTATGGAGTTAAGGGCCGTTTGGCTGTGACTAGGATTAGTTAATTTGTCTTTAATGAGTCCTATACATAAGATTTCGTAATTCTTAGATGTGTTATATCGTAAAAATTGTTAAAAGAAAAAACAGGTGTAGCTCAGTTGATTAAAAAAAAGTATAGCTTAGTTCAATAGGATGAATTAAAAGAAATTAAGATAATTAATTATAGCATATCAATATATTAATAAATTGATGCAATTAGAAATTAATTATTGATTTGGATATTTGTATCTTTGTTTTTTAATTAGAATGATTATCATTTTGAGATAATAATGAAAGGATAGTTTCTTAATCAAGTTGATCAAAATTGTATTGTTTAAAATATTTATAAATTTGAATAGTTTGTCATTACGATCTCTGCCTATTTAGGACCTATTATGTTTGAAGTTTACTAATTAATACTTAATGGATTAATCAAGAACTAATTGAATTTAAATAAACTGATTAAGTATAATTTTTAAGTTAAATATTTAATATGATAGGCCTAGTTTATAATAGGAATGTTATATAATACTCATAGAGCTTAATAATGATAATTAAAGATTAATTTAAAGCATTATGAATTAATTGACATTGGAAACTTTAATCTTTAACTATTAGGTTAGCTTTTACTAAATCCTTAAAAATCATACATGATTAAGTAAATCTTGTGTGATTTCAAAGTCATCAAATACTTGGATTTAAAGGGCCTCAAAAAAATAATTTAGTTGGGATTCACATTGAGATTTGTCGGCAAGTTTTCATCTGGACATAAAACTTTACCTTTTTGACACTTTCTTAGAGTTAACGCTGCTTCACTCTTTGTGGATTGAGTTCGAAAAAAACTAACCTCATCTTAAAATCATCAGTTAAGATTTCATTATATGCTCAATTTGAGTTGGCTAAAAAATGATTGCTTTCAAGTCAATTTTTGAGCTGAGCATTCACCCTCTTTTATTTAGTTCTTTGAAAATAAATACATATAATGCATGTTTTTGTTTGAATTAAGCCAATGTTAAATTGAATCAAAGAAATTTTCAGCATGTCATCTAGTTAGTTGAAGCTGATCAATTTTTAATTTAAGTTGACTGACATTAGAGTTTTTATCAAGTGACTGTGGACTATTTTAGATCAATATACGATACATATTTTTTTTCATAATATCTTTCAAAATAACTTCTACCTTACAAGTCAAAAATTATCAAAATAATATATATATTGGGGGTGCACCTCACTTTAACAATTTGAAGATAAACAGATGGCTCCAGAATCTAAAAGGAGTTGGCTATACCTATTCAAGGAGGAAATGGGCGAGGTACGCCAACAGAAAAATGGTAGTCTGGCCCAATAGAGACATGAACACACTATCGATGTATGAATATAGAACTTCCCAATCAAAATGGAGAGAACTCTTCCCCAGCAGAGTCGCCAGAATTTGTCGGCTGAAATCATGAAAATAGGAAAATGAATTAAATTAAATTTAATAGATATAAAATTTTATTTTGTAATTTTGATTTTTGAAAAATAGTGTTTTAATTTTTGAAAAATGTGATGAGACCGAATACATCCCAAATATTTAATAGTTTAAGTAACCGAACACAACACAACAATTGATACGTCGTCTTGAAATGTAAGCATATCACTTGACGGCGGACTTTATTATATAAACTAAATAATTTATGACATCCGTTTAATCTGTAAAACCTTTTATGTATGACCGACAAGTTCCTCTACCTAATATTAGAATTGAATAAGGTTTATTTTACCTGGATTTTTAGTTTTCTATAAAGACAAACTCATATAGTTAATTACATCTTAGTCAATCAAAATCACTTAAGAAGACTCAATTATGATTAGTGGTTCTGTCTTCAAGATTTGGAAGTTTAGTTTTTAAGGTTGAACACTTGAAAGTCAAAAGGGAATGACTCAAGTAAAAACAACTATTTTAGGAGTCTGAAGGAGCGAAAAAGTAGGGGATGTCACAGATCTAAGGAAAACCTTGGTGACTTCCCAACTATGTTAATGTCTGACTTTATGTCTTTGAAATGATATTATTTAGTGTTTCATTCATGCAATTTATTTTAGAAGTTGGGATTTACATTTGCATGATATCCAATCGTGCAAATAACCTAGAAATATAGGAGAAATTACGTTGTACCGAACGATTACCCCGGAATCCTAAAAGAGTTAAAACTTGTATTGCACAACATGATCGTGCAAAGACCTAAAGATAAAGTGAGGATTTATGCCGTGCTAGACGAACCACCTCGAAGTTTTATGGATTTGTTATTGTTTAAACTAAGGAGAGCTATAGCGGAAGTTGATATTATTTCGCTGATGTCTCGTTTTATATGTTTACAGTTAGATTTGAACATTCCCTCAAGTATTATGGTAAGTATATAAGAAGATTGAGAAGGTTTGCATACATACTAATTAATTCCTATGTGTGTACATATTAACTACTAAACTTTCGTATTTACACTCTCAGCACCAAAATTTTATTATCATTTCAAAATAACACTATTATCAATTTTTAAGTGAAATACATATTTATGCATAGACTGAAAGTATCAAGTGCGATGTATGTAAATGCCCCATAATAAAAATATATTACAGGATGAGAAGATTTATCAACGCAGGGCACCTCCAAGTTTAGTATAGAACACAAACTTTAGGTGTTAAATCAGCAAATATCTAGCAATTAGAATTCATAATTTCCAATTTAAGTGATACATAAATAAGTATACAGGGGTTAGAGAAAATCAACCACCTTTCATTTGAAATTTATTTATTGTATATATAAGTGCTTAAAGATCCCAAAGATCCTTGATTATATAATCAAAACCAAATATTACATGTTTAGATATGTAAAGATTATAAAATTCTACACATTTGAAACTTAAGTATTACATGTGTGAATATACACTTATTGAGAAACTGTGCATGCATATACTACACTTTAAATGTCGTGAGTGTAAATAGTCCTAAATTTTAGTTAGCACTGTATACGTACACTTTTTTTTGTGTGAAAGAGATAAATATACTTTATTACAATATTTCCATACACGGCCGATAGGAAACCTTTATATTTTTTACAAAACAAAACTCTGGAAACTATAAATTTCTATAAAAATAATTGCGTGGAACTTAAGATTCTTGCAAATATCTCAATTAGAACCGCTTATGGAATGAAGTTCTATACATGTAAATACACCAGAACCTGAAATTGTTCCTCAAATTCTCAGCGCCGTATATGTAAATACATCATGATTAAAGAAGCTACGCTTGTACATTATAATTTAAGTGCTATGTAAACACTTGAGAAAATCTGAAACAAATTTGAACCCCACGTATATGTGTAAGAAGTAAAGTGGTATGTATATATTCACAAGAGAGCCCAAAATCCACACATGTATACATTTGTTTCAAAGTCGAAGTGGCCATAAAAGTTTGTCGATTTTCTGCAAACGAAAATACACATTTTTATGAATAAACCTATCAAATTTTCATCATTTTTTTATATGAAAAATCATCGATGTTCCCAATTTTCACAAACACAAAACCGTGAAGTTTCAGATTTTCACTAAAACGAGCCACCAAAATTTTCTGAATTTTCCAACAATGAAACCTACATATGTTTCTAATTTTCCAAAACAAAAGATTCCAGTCCTCTTAAATGAACGCCCAAAACCATCATTTCATTTTTTTAACACAAAGCCTCTTTTGATGTTCTCAAACCATCACAAAACAATTTATTATAATTTCTTATTCCCCAAAATAGATTCGGTAAAGCTTTCAATTCTCATAACTGAAACTGCAAAGTCATCACCTCTCCAGAACAAAGCCCCTTTAATTTTTTTTTGTTCCCAAACCTTTTCAAAACAAGCTATAGCGATTTCAATTTCTTCGAGAAATGCATTTCCAAAGATCTCCGGATTGTGCAAAACCATACCACGGAAGTTTTCAATTTTTTTTTTTAAAAAAAAACAATTGAAAAGCTTCCAAGTTCTATAAAACCGAGCCGTAACGATTTCATTATTTTCCAAAACAAACACTTTAAATTTCTTCACTTTCAACAAATCAAAACCACAAAAATTTCACATTGCGCAAAATGACATGTTAAAAATTTCTGGATTTTACATGCAACATACATAAATACGTCGGATTTAAACAAACTTTACATAAGGGGCTCAAAGATCAGACATTTCGTATATGAACATTTAAGAAGTTAACAAATTCGATACACAAATCTCAAATTTCAAGTACTAGGACCTAATTGAAGCATGATGGAATTAAATGATCTATCAAGAAAAACCATGAGATGGTATATATAAGCATTTGTATGAAAAAGCATTTCTATGAAACTCTTATGCGCAAATTCTTGTAGCATGCTGTTGAGAAGAGGAAAACATTTCACAACCCTAGCTTTAATCTCAATTGTTTGATAGATCACTAACACTATAGCATCAACAAAACCTGTGTTTAAATTACATAGCAAAAATGAAATCATTTATTGCAAGTAAACCAGTTTTTGGGGACACCTTAAAAGCAATAGTTAATGAAATCTGAGATCTGAAATCAGGAATTGCATTTGCTAGCATTGCTTTTAGAAAAAGAAAACTCGCATTCAAATTTATTTTAAAGAAGAGTTTACATTACTAATGCTTGAATTTCCACCTTGTACATGCATGTCACTCATATATTTAAGATCCCCTCGAAGATGCAATTCTTATACTCATTCCGCCACAACTCCCATTAATCACACATATCAGTATTTTACTTACTAAAAAGCGAAATGCACACTTTTGTCCATAGGTAAGATGACACATGTAAGAATTGAAAATTTAGGTGCTAGCTATGTAAGGAAATAAGGATCGAGGGGCATGTATTTAAATCTAAAAGAATGGCATGATATGTAAAAATTGAAGTTAAGTTGTTAGATGTGTAAATAGATGAAGGATGAGTGGTATATATGTAAATCTTTGACAACGCATCACAATTACCATAATCACTTGTTTAAAAGTGGCACATATTTCATGTATAATTTTATGTAGTCAAGGAGTTATAAATGTGAATGTCGAACTTCGGCTTTTTGGAATGTAAATGCATAAGAAATGTGTTTTTTATGTTTAAATTTTCCTAAAATTTTATCGTAGAAAGGTAATGTTCCTGTTTTATCTTGGCTTTGTGCATACAAACTTAAAATACATGGCAATAATTCCAGCTGTATCAACAAGTGGACAGGCTTCACTTGATTGCAAGGGAATGAGAATAGACTAAAATTTAGATTTATCGAAAATTATTTCCTAAAGAAAAAGGTAGTTCAAAATGTATACATATCTTCTGATTCAGCTCACTTCCAGAGTATTCCTTTCTTTCTAGGCATCATTTTTTTTTTGCAGCGAGTCTCAAACTAATCGGAATCTGCAAAAGGCCCCAACTCTTTCCATGACAACCATGGCAAAGCAATTTTTAGCTGTAACTGATAAAATGAGAAAGCAAAATCAGATAGAAGTTGCATGAAATGCAGATATTTTCTAGTATAAAAAGATAGACCTCAGCATAGCAAAACACAAACTACGGTTACCGTCACGAAACAGCTAGAGCACCAGTGAATAGCGTAAATTGAAATGAAGGAAGATTTAAGTAGTACATACCACCAAAGTTCCTACTGCATTTTATTACTAAATGAATCTTGGTTATGTAAGCAAAATCAGCCATAATATGCAAAAGTTCAAGCAAACCCTCAGAGAATGAGTTTTGAGCCACCCCTTGGAAGATCTGCCTGTTTCATTTTTTTTTATTTTTTAAGTATAGATTTTGTTCCTGCTCCCATCTTTTCTTTGCCAAGCCAAAATTGAAACCCATCCTCGCGATTTTGCCGGTCCTCTCGCAAGATGGAGGGGAAAGAGATCTCGCCGGCGACGCCAGCAAGGTCTGCCGACGGTGGAGCAAGTAAGAGGGGAAGGGTTCGACCAAATGAAGTGAAGCGGCTAGGGTTCTTCCTCATGTGTTATGTGAGTGTTGTGGGTTTTATGAAGGATTTTTTATTGTATTATTTTATTTTATTATTATTTAATATTCAAAAGCCTTGATTTGCACATCATTTGTCCATGCACAAAACTATAGTGAAATTGGTGTCCTTTCTAGCTAAAATCGATGTTCTAGACGCACTTGCGTGGTCCGTTTCGTCATTCGGGGTCGTCCAGACAAATTCATCAACGTTCTTGTCAAAAATATGTCAAATTCAATTTTTCTTAAAATTTTAGTTCGTGATCGATCGTTTCGATAATTGATTTAAGTTTGATCAATTGTGAAGCCTCCTACAGATGCAAATGATGTAAAATTTGATATTTATATGCATCGAATATGTGAATTGTTGTATTCGTGTATCGTGAATACGCACGAAAGCCACGAGTCTCCTAAGACTTTAAAATCTTAGACGAACTCTCTTCGTGTCTTCACATACTGGTTCTTAGCCCTTGCAACTAAAATTTGAGTCCTTGAAACCACTCTCATGAGGCCTCATAAAAGAGATAGGAGATGGTTTGAATTTCTAAAAGAGTGGGTCCCTCCACTAGTCCTCTAGGATAGTCAATAAGAAGTTCTAAGGCTAGATCCTAGGCCAATTCTTTGAAGAATTGGTTACTATTTTCCCTAAAAGCATTTGACATTTTGATTTATTGAAACACAAGCCTGACATATCTTTAAATTTCACCAACTTTATGTTCTCCTTAGTACATTTTTACTGGCATTTGTGAATAAATTAGCATCATCTGCACAAGCAAGGCTACCAACTGTCAATCTAGCCTGATGCCTATAGAAAGTTTGGGGATTAACTAATCGAAGGCAATTATGAAGATAGTAGGAAATAAAGGGCCTCCTTGTTTGATAGCCTTACCAGTTTCAAAAAACCCGTGAAGTTTGTTATTAATGAGAATGTTATACAAGTTTCCAAGTCACCTGTTAATCAAATACAAAATTCCACATTAAAATCCCGAGCTTGTAGCCTTTCAAAATGAATGACCAAATTATAGTATCATAATTTTTTTTCAAATCGAGCTTAATAATTAAATTGCCACCACGACATTTTTATCTAAATCCATAATCAACTCCTGCGCCAGCAATATGTTATCAATAATGCTCCGGCCTTTGTTAAAGGTGGCTTGGCCTGGAGAGATCAAATAGAGAAGGTGTGGTTGAATCCTCATCACAAGAATCTTGCTGATGATCTTAGATATAAGCGTAGTGAAATTAATTGGCCGAGAATGCTCTCCGTTTGATTTATCATGTACTTTAGAAATTAATACAATGGACGAAGTAGTGAAATATTTTCCTGGGTTACTATCTCTAAAATAGCTTTGAATTGCTTCAATGACATCCTCTTTAATCAAGTGCCAACATTTTTTGTAAAAATTAGTTGTGAAGCCATCTGGCTCTGCCGTTTTGTTGCTATCAATGGAGGAATGTAAAGCTTCCCGAATTTCTTTCTCCGTTGGTATTCCCGTAAGTTAAGTTGTTGAGTGTAGCTTTTATGGCTTTCAAATAATTCCTGTTGCAATGCATCTATAAAAAATTTCAAAGTGATGCTACTATGAATAATATCCTCCTGTTTTTCCTACCAAACACTTTGATCATTTTCGATTCTCAATGTGGCAATTATCCTCCATATTTTTATACTCACTTGTAAGTACTTTTGAGTTTCTATCACCAGCTGTAAAGTGCACTTTCTCCGCTTTTTGCTTTAGGAATCCCTCCTCCCGATGGATTGCTTTCATTAGTTCTTTCTATGCAATGATTAAATCATTCCCGACATTTCCATCTTCACCATCAATGCTTTCCAATCTACACACTTCATTTTCAGCTAATTTAACTTTTTTGTGCAAATCCCAAAAAATATGTCGGTTCCATTTCTTAAATGTCGAGGCCATAATTTTTTGTAGTTTCCACAATCTTGTCCATTCAAACCCAAATTCATTGCAATGCCGATTCATTTCAAGACAATTCAAGTAATCTTGATGGTTGGCTCAATTGTCTAAATATCTCAATGGAGAAAACTTTCTTTTCAATTGCAGATATAGGGTTTGTTTGGGGCAGCTGCAGCTTATTGAATAATTTGCTGATAAGTTGATTAAAAATAATCTGATTTTTATTTTTTATGAAAAAGCCGAACCATAGCTAAAAAGTTGTTATCGCACTAAGTAGGTTTGGTGTGAACACGCTGTTTTCAGCGTTTTGAAAATACATAAGCTGTCAAAACGTAGTTCACCCAAACAGGAACGCACCACACCAAATAAGCTGCAACCAAACGGGCCCATAGTCAGTAGAAGTGGTTTGTGATCAGAACCTATTCTTGATAAATGATGTATTGTACTTGAAGTTGGATGACCAATCTTGATTGACAAGAATTCTGTCTAATCTTTCAAACACCCTTACTCTTTTTCATGTAAATATCGAACCTATATATTCAAGGTCAAAGAGACCTGCTTCTAGTAAAGCATCATTGACTTTACTAATCAGAGCACCTCTACTGCTTTTTTTTTCTCAAGCTACATGTCGAAGTCCCCACCAACTAACCAATTATCTTCAAGTTACATGCCACCTAAGTTTCCATATTTACATTCATAACCCTCCTAACATTTTAACTTCACATTAAAAATACTACAATTATTAACTTTCTTCAAGTGAAATATATTTTTTCATATTTAGGTTTATGACACCAAACTTTGTTGTGTAAATATCAAACTTTAGGTGTTAGATATATAAATACATTAGAATTGTGGGTATTTATGTAAATTTCTCTTTTTTTCTTAAGGTTTGTTCACTAATAATTGTCATTTTTCTAATGCAGTTTTTGTTCAAAAAGTATCATTCTTATGAGGAATCCCAAGGAGACCAAGATAGGGTTGAGCAGGTCAAGAAGAAAGCACTTCAGTTTTTAGAGAGCTCTTATTGAAAGTTAAGAACATGCACAGTGGCTTAATTTTGTAGCTCTTAATGTTGACCGGTGATTCTATAATATACTATGTAAGTTCATTTATTCTTGTATATGTATATTTGTTTAATAATATTTTATTGAAATTAAAAATAGCAATTGGGGTTTGTGAATTTAGCTTGCAGCTCATTAATTGCTCGAAAATTGATTCAAATTTTTTACTTGGATTGAATAAAAATTGCTGTGTTGGGAGCAATATTTTAGATCAAATTTTTTGGAGCTCATTTTGTCATATATGAATCGGCTTGAATTGACTCGAGATGGGAGCACTTATTCTGTGCCCAATCAGAAATTTGATTTTTTTTAAAATTTGGAGCCCATTGACATACACTTTTTGGTTGAGGAAATGTTGAGATGGGGTTGTAGTTCTTTTATTTATTAAATTTATATATGTAATGTTAAGTTAAATTGAGTATAACGATTTACTGACTAATGTAACGATTTCGTATAACTCAATTTGAGCAAGTAAGCTTCATTTTAAGCTGAATCGAGCCAATTCTTAGTTGAAATAAATCCAGATAACTTTATTTGAGTTTATTTGAGTCGGCTTGTTTAGATTTTGAGTATAGTTAGCTCAGCTCAATTTCAAGCCGCATTAAATCTATTCGATCCGACTCCTAATAGCAACTGTTAGTGAATTAGGAGTTTAGAAAATTGAATTGGTCGATTCAATCCAAAACTACCTGAAAACCTTTTTCACTCCATATAATCCACACTTGCATTAAGATTTGTGCAAACTACATCTTTGGTTCATCTCTCTCTCTCTTCTGTGATTATTTTGTTTATTTTCCCTTCTTCCTATTTACAAATCAACCCTCGTCATCCATCTATTTGGTTTCTTACTCAAACATCAAAATTCATGATAAAATCTCAACCCATGTTTTCATTCCTATCAAATTCTAAATAGTTTGATTCTGGCATGCATAAATACATCGGTTCGCAGTTCAAAAAAATCACGTAAAAGTGGTTAATTTGTAAATAGCAATGTTTCAAGTGATTTGCCATTGATTATTCCTTTAAATAAATATGAAAAATAGGTGTTACATCTGTAAATATATAATATGTTCATCACAAGAATGTAAAAACCTTAAAATATAATAATATTTCTATATATAGGAGAAAAATAGTGCTTCTTCCCCGATACCAACCAATTTCTATGTATTTACATATCTGACATCTAAACCTCACTTTTTCAAATTTGCGCAACCCTAAATCTTTCACATCACATTAAAATACCACTTCTTAAACATTTTAAATGCAAAGTACACCTTTTCATGCACATGAAGTAAATATTATGTAGAGATGTATACAGTGTTCGATCTTTATCGTTTATCAGAGCAAAGATGAATAATGGTGGGCCTTATTTTTTAATTTTTTATTTTTTTAAAGTTGAATGATGGTGGTAAAATACTGAATTTTAGTTGTTAGTTATGTAAATATATAGTAATTGAATGGTATATATGTAAATCTTCCTATTTTTTTTTATGGTGGCATTTGGATGGATCTGAATGTATGGACATTCGAAATGATTCTAGAATGTTCTAGAACTTGTTCCCGTGTAATTCATATCATCCAACATTATAAATAAATAAATAAATAAATATAAATAAATAACATGTTTGGTCTAACTTGTAAATATTTTGATTTTATATTGTTAACATTAATTATTGCGCAATTTTTTTTTTTTATTTTTAACAAAACTATTATTTTTATATTTAATATATATATCCTAAATAGCACTATTATCATTTTTTTAAAAATCAAGGATACTCTTTCATGTATAAGTTGAAGGCACCAAAATGTTATGCCTATAAATATGAAAGGTTAGGTATGAGATACGTAAATACATAAGAATTATACGTGCTAAAATGTAAAATTCCCAAAATGAACTTTGTTTGAAAGTGAAAATGATAAAAGAGATTTGAAACTATGTTATTACATGTCACCCACTTGTCCAATTTTAGACAATTTCAGCAAAAAAAAATATTTTGATTTCTTAATTGTTGATGAGAAAATGAGTTTTTATTAGTATTATTATTTAAAATTATTAGGGGAGAAGATGTCCAAGTCATAATAATATAATTTTTTTCCTTAATGTTTTCTAAGATTGGGAAGATAATTGTATCGAAATGTCAGTATCTTTAGAGACGTGTAAAATGCAGTCTACTCTATTAAGTTCGTTCATCGGAGAGTAAACAGTCTGCCGTGACCAACATCATCAGATCAATATTATAGTCGATAGCTTGCTTCATCATATTCCAGTATGGTCGATTGGGTTGGCTTAATCACTGGATTGCATAATTGTTTTTCATTAGCTATAATCGTGTTTTGGTGCTATTGAGTTGCTAAAAATAATAAATATTATGAAATAATTCTAGATAAGGATCAAAGTACCTCCTAATACAACTATGTCTTAGTTCTTTGTATTTTGTCATAATTTGAACTAGGAGCACTAAAGAATTGTAAAGATTCTTAGATGTGTAACTACCATAGCAATCAAGTGATTGCCTCGACATTCGTATATCCGCCAAATGTAAATTGATTGATGTCCAACTTATGATGGTAACTTTCGATCAGTGACCACCTGTCAATGCTTACAATCCCCTTTCGCCATTCATTAACATTCACTAACATCCATCAATTGACATACAACATCTATGCTAGTTAACTTCGCTCTTCATCGACTATTGCCAGCTATCTTTCATCGAGATCACAACTTTAAGAAATAATATCTATTAATCAAAATATTTATACTACACGAATTCTTCCTTTCTTTAGTCGTGTCTGAAAGAAAACAAACTATTTATAATCTCAATTATTATCGAGTAGAATTGATCTATTATATCAAGTTAGTCTGATTTTCGAGGGATATATGCAAGCATCTTAACCCCTTGGTTGAAAGCTTAAACTCTCGACCAAGAGATATTGAGTTCAGGCCTTCTCCGCCATAAAACAAACTAAATAATTACAATAATTCTAAAAGAAAAGGACAAATATGTAAGAAAATTGACTAAAAATCTAAATAAATTTTTCAAAAATGATAGTAATTGTAAAATAATATAACATAATTGCCAAAGAAATTTTCTCATTTGTTTATATTGATGAAGCCAAATTTACTCGGTGCATGCCAGAGGGATTTGCACCAAGGCTCCGGACAAAGCGCAGGAGAATGAAAACAAAGGAGGACGTGGAGAATTAATGGCTTCTGTATGAAAATTACATGTTCATTTTTATATATTTTTAAAATATTTAATATAAATATTTTACACATTATATTTTTCTGAGATCTTTGTGTTAAAAATGTCTCTTTATATATATATATATATCATTATTATAACTTTTAAACACTGAAATGCATTCTTTCATGTAAAATAAAGGTGGCAAATGTGTAAAAATTAAACTTTAGGTGTTGGATGTGTAAATACATAGGGATTGAGTGGTATGCATGTAAATCTTTCCTTAAAAAAATTTGAGAGAAACTAGTGGCTATTCAATGGAAGATTAGGGTTCTAGGCATGCCACATTAGTCTTAACGGGGATACAATAATACGTTTTGTTGTGATATACACCAATTGTTGTGGTATATATATAGATAGGAGAATGATCTTTGACGAAACGAAAAAAATAGAACGAGAAAATTTACACAAAAAAATAGTAACATAGCGGAACACACAGATTTACGTGGTTCGATAAATTGTTTACGTCCAAGGAGTTGCTGAGTATTTTATTACTTGAAGAATTTACATTAGTTGATCGTCTCGACTTACAAGAAGAATCTCTCACTTTGTTGTTCTCTCTACACTGAAATATACCGAAGAAGCTTTATATCGTGATACACTGAAGAAGATAAACTTACAAGAGAAATAAACCCAATTTCTCTTCTGCCACATGCCACAAAGAAGAAGCCAATGGAGAACAATTTTCTTCTTCTTCTTTCTTATTCCTTCTTCCTTCTTCCTTCTTCCTTCTTCCTTCTTCCTTTTGCTGCAAGGAACTACTGTTTGCAATTATCTTCCTCTGTCCCGATGAAGTCCAAAGAAGAACACTAAAATCGTGACTTGAAGCTGAAGAAGAGCCGTTGCGATGCCTTTTATCATGAACAGGAAGCGGAGAGGCGACGTTTCACGAAATAGCATGGAGTCGCGACAATTCACGATCAGACAAAGTGAACCTTCGCTTCCCGGGTTTTGCGATCGAGTGGGAGCGGGAAGGCAGGATCGGCCTCCAGCTTAACACGTTTGTCATTCAAACATGCAGACGACGACATGATCACACCACGCGGTGCGTCAAGCGGCGTGATACGATCCATGCCGTCAAGCACACTTACAATTTATCAGACGTAATGTTTTCTCCGCAGCCAATCTCCTTACTCTTATCATCTAATTCCTTCACAATTATTTATTTATTTATCTATACACCTAAAAAATAATTAAAAAAAAAAGATCTTTTTCAAAATTTGGTCAAATTTGTTGAAAATTTTTCAGCATCGAAGAAATCTCAATCTGAAAAAATAAATTAATTAAATTATTATTTTATATTATCCTATTTCTAAAATTAAGTGCTTCTCTTAACCATGGAATCCTTCAGCCATAGATGATAGATGTACACGGGACAACACTGTAATTAAAATATTGTTTTTGTAATTAAAAGATATTGCCAATGTAGACCAATGGCTGGGCATTAATTTTTGCATTATTCATGCAAGCGGGCAGCCATGCAATTATTATTAATTAATTAGGTCAACTGATTTCATGACACCTGGTTAGCTTGCTATACTGCAAATAAATATTATTTAATTTTTTATTTTTATATATATAACCTTTTTATTTGTTACATGTTTCAATCTAACTATTACATATTTGAATATAAATTTTATTTTATTGACATATCATCAATAAATTTAACAATTTTCAAGAAATTTATTTTTTTGTGCGTTTCAATTTTCAAAGAATAATATATTATTAATAGAAATAATATAAATATGTTTTGACTCTAATTTTCTCATATGATGATTACATGTAATTCAATTATAATATAAATCGGGCCTTATTTAATTTTATTTAAACATGTAAAGGCATGAAAATATTTAATTAAATTATCTAAATTATTTTGCTTCTTTTGTTAAGGTTGTAATGCATAAACATCACTTATTCGAAAAAAAATATTACATCAGGACTCCACATGTAGAGTTACGTGTTATTATAATACTGAGAATATTCTCAAAACACTATAACATCTGAATAACATATAATAACACATGAATAACACACAATAACACCTGAATAACACGAGGGGAATATTCTCTTGTGTTACCGGGTCGATCACCTCCACAGTAGCTCTACATGCGGAGTACTGATGTAATATTTTTTCTACTTTTTCTTTTCTTTTTTATTGGGGCATTTACATACATATCACACAATTCTTATGTATTTACCTATCTAATACCTAAACATTTATGTTTATATTCATACCGCTCTAGCATTAATGTCGCAACAAAAATATAATTTTTCATGCAGAGGTTTGTGAAGCAAGACATTATAAGTGTAAATATCAAATTTTATGTGTAAATATTTAAAAATTATATGGTGTATATGTAATTTTCCCTTTAATTATAAGTATTACTAGTTATAGATGTGATTAAGAGTTAATTATCCATATATTTCAGTTCTTAACATGTCTACATCTTTAAATGAAGGCTTCTCGTTTTATTTTAAGAAGAAAACATTACCAATACCAAAGGAAAGTGTTGGAGCCACAAGAAGAAATTACGCACTAATGACGCAATTAAGTAGTTTAAGCAATCGAAATTCTCTTTAAATTTAATATGATTTAGATATTAATTTCGAACATTAAATAATAAAAATTCGATGTTGACTTTATTTTTATGCACAATGTAAATAAGATTTATATTCAAAAAAATTGGCCTTTTAAGAAAATAAGTACTAGGGCTTTCGAACAAACTTTTTGTTCGTGAACAAGTCATGTTCGACTCGTTAAGTAGCTCATGTTCAAATTGTTCACTAAGTGAGTGAGTTGAACATGTATAAATTTCTTAAGCTCGAATTATAAAAGTGTGAACATGAACAACTCTTTGATCGATTATCTTCAGGTAATTTTAACTTAATATATTATTTATGTTATAATATATTAGACATATTTATATGATTATATCTAAGTTTAAATCACAACAGCTTGTGTGGTCATGTAGTTTTGTATCTTTTATTGTATATAAATGGTGCATGTTGGAATACAATGTCCTAGGACTATTTTATAATTAATTAAAATGAGTCAATTTAGATTCAAACACAAGACAAACATGAATAAGAATCTGGAAATCGAGTGAACACAAACACATCGTTCCCGAGCAATATTGAACACTGACCAATTTCATACAGAATTAATTTGAAACGAGGTGAAACGAGCCAAGCCTGAGCTCGCTCAGGCTTGACTTGTTTACAAACCTAATTGTAGCCCCTATGGGCCTTTCTAGCTCCTTCACATCAATCACCTCTCAATACAGAAAATGAACATATAGAGAAGAAATCTCTAAGATTTATTATTACTAAAATAGTTATAGGAGCACAATCTAAATATTAAAATTTGTTATCTAATAGTATCCCTATTAGGATGCAATCATTTGTAAAAGAAATTTCGTTCAGAATAAGCCGAGTTGATGAGATCAACCCATTAGACTAATAGAAGTCAGCCTATTCGTCAGTTGTGGTTTCGACTAACGTCCAGTACATCCGATACCTCGATTGAACCCGAGCCTTGTAACACGCTTAGTATGGGTTCTAACTTGGGTTTGCCCAAAATGAACCTTAGTTATATGATATAATTTTCTTATAGGGGTTTATTTTACTCCACTATAAAATGTAATTTCATTTTAGCTTCATATCTCCCTTGGGGGGAGTTAGCAAATAATAAATTAATTATTGAGGATTCTTCTCCCCTAGTTGGTGGAGGTTGCTTAGTTTGGATGGTGGAGTTGAGCAATATTATTAAAAATCTTCATTGGTGTCATTTTGAGTATATGAAAAGTGAGTATGAAAATTCTATTGAAGATTTAAATGAGTAATGTCCTTTCTTTGACTTGAGGCTTTCTTTTTTTGGGCATTTACAAAAATGTCACATAATTTTTATATATTTATATATCTAACTCCTAAAGTTTCATATTTACATACATAATACTCAAATGTTTAACCCAGGATTGCCCAATTCATAGGATTCAAGAAGGCTTAAATTTCGAAAAGTAACCAATCGGATCGCCCCAAATCGGATGTCTAAAATTATATTAATCTGTAGAAATATTTTCAAGATGTGCAGGATAGACGTTAACTCAAGATTGTAAACAACCAGACATGGTTGAGAGAGAGAGGAAAAGAACTCAAATAACTGAGGCAAGGAGAATCGAGCCAAACAGCCAAACACGAGCAACTAGGGACAGTTGACAATGGTTGACCTACCAAGGCCAACCGACCGACCAAGACTAACCGATCGAGATAGGATGATCAAGATCGAATGATTGAAGCCAAAAGGCCAACGTTGGGTAAACAAGGTCAAGCAATCGAAACCGAGCAACCAAGCGGCTTCATATAAAGTTGACTTCCATCACGCCCTAATTGAATAAGGGTAGGATTAGTTTCAGATCCCAAAAAATCGAAAGACTGTCCTAACCTCGAACCTCTTGTTCACAGTCATCTAGTTTCTCACACAGTTCTGCTCCATCTTGCCTCTCTTTGTCCATCTCCTTAAATCTATTCCTTGAGAGTGATTCAGAGATGCTCTTGCGTTCAAAACAATCACATACAAAAGTACAAATAAAAGGAATGTATACATATTTTTTAAAAAAAACTAATTTAATATTAAGTTTATAATAATTTAAAGGTGTTGAGTGTTATATATGTAAATACTAAAATTTAAAGGTTAAATATATACAAGGTATGAGCATGTACAAATCCCCACCCTCTTTTTAATAAGAGCTCTCACCTTAAAAAGATTATTTTTATATATTAAATAGTCCGATTGTGATTAAGTTTTTATTTTTACACCTGATCGTAAAAAATTAATTTAATGTTTATAGTAAAAAGCTACTTCAGTTTTTTTTTTTATATATAAAAATAATAATTTTTTTTTTCAATGAGGCGTGATTAGGGGTGTAAATGAGCCAAACTCGAACGAACAGAGCTTGTGTTTGTGTCTGGTTCGTTTGAAATTTAGTTTGTTTGAAATAAGATCGTGTTCGAAATTGTTCGTGAAGTCACCGTTCATGTTCGTTTCTTAACGAACGAGCCGAACACAAGCTGTTCGCGAGCGCGAGCCAATTTGAAATCCGTGATATTAATATATATAAATAATATGTTATATTAATTATATAACTTATATTATATAAATATATAATGTCAATATTAGTATATTACTAATATAGTATATTAATATATTATTATTAATAATTTAATATATATTATAATTTATAAAGTTTAATTTTTTAAAATATCATAAATTTTTTATATATAATTATTTTAAATTATTTTATATTTCGAACAATAACGATTCGAACACGAACGAACATATCACTGTTCGTGTTTGGTTCGTTTAACTAACTGAACAAAAAAAAATTGTTAACGTTCGACTCGTTTACTCATCGAACGAGTCCAACACGAACTCATTGATGAACCTAATACGAACTGTTCGCGAACAACAAGCTTTTTTGACAATATGATAAATAGAATATTTTTATAGATCGGTTTAGGCCATACAATTGAGCCCTACATAATAATAACAATAATAAATAGAGTAATTTTTATAATTAAAAATTCATGCAAAAATGTTTATATTGCAAGCTATGTATAGTACATGTTACATAGTACGCATAGTACATAAAAAAAAGTTGTTTCAAGAGTTTAGAAAAAGGGTACCAACAACATATTTTTTATGTTTTTATATATCTCACACTATATGTTAATATTTATTCATATAATATGTCTTGAGTGTGTTTGTGATAGCGGTGTGGTGACAGTGCGACATCACGTTGAAACATATTTTTTTGCTATTTGGCAAAACTGTGTTTTACAATCTAATAAATCTCTGTGTGGTGAATGCTAGAAAGTGTAGCCTGACTTCGTTAATTATCATAACTTCGAACAAAAAGTTATTCCCTAGTAAGCTCGTAGTAAGTGTAGAGTTGATTCTTCAAATACTATTACTACAAATAGTGTCGTCATCGTCCATCAAATTCAAGATTTATTACAGTTGACTCATCTCTGTCGCTCCCTTTCTTTTGTCTTACGCTCTATTCATTAGGGGTGTGTTTCACGAACAAATTAGGCTTAAACAAATATGATGTTAAGCATTTAAATGTTTTTTGAACTGTAAAATTAGATATTTAAATATTGAAGAATTATTATTTACAAATGTAACCAAAGCAAAAAAAGATTATCACTATAACGGCTTAATTCCAAACGTAAAATTCAAATATTTTTAAACTCTTGCCTTTATCCTCACTCGTCACATCTCACCGTTTAAGCGTTCCCCAAAGTCCCTTTTCCTCTCTCCTTCGCCTCCTCCTCCTCCATCTGCCCCCTTTAAGCTCTTTTCATGGCTTCTGGACCAGAAGGAACGGAGCCGTTGAACTGCAAGGCACTTATTTTCTCCTTTATTTTCTAAATTTCTTTCTTATAATAGCATCAGCAATCCACTGATCTCCATTTTGATAAACCAGACATGGGTGTTGAAGGTCTCAATCCACTGTGGAGGATGCGAGAGAAAAATCAAAAGAATTCTTCATAAAATCAAAGGTAAGATCCGCTAATCTCTTTTCAATTTTGAATCTTTCTCGATCCGCTTCAATCTTGACCGATTTCTGTTCAACAAATGTTAATCAAAATTGAATCTTTCCCTCTTCGATCCACAGGAGTTTATGATATTGAAATCGATGCAAACCAGAACAGAGTAACGGTAACCGGCAACATCGACGGTGAATCCCTGGTTCAAAAACTGCTAAAATACGGCAAGCACGCCGAGCTGTTGACGGAGAAGAGTCCCACCCCCGCCACCTCCGCCGCGAAAATTGAATCCAACGGCAAGGAGAAAGCAGTCCCGGCGGCCACCGCACCAGAAACAGAGGAGAAAAAGCAATCTGAAAAGGGGAAAGCAGTAATTCAGTCACCGGAGATCCCGCCGGCAGCCACCACCGTCTCCGATGAGATCACTGCTCCTAAGCCTGATACTGATTCAAAATCACAACCGGAGAAGATCAGCTCCGTGAAGGCGGTGCCAGCCAGCGATACAGAGAACAAGAAGAAGGAGAAGGAAGTCAAGGGAGAAGAAAGCAGGGTAAATGAACGGGAGATTTCCGGCACCGTGAGCACCGCCGGCGTGAATTCTCCTCAATTTCCGGCGAACATCTCGCCGTTGTACGCTACAGCGAGCTATCACACAGCTCATCCCAGCACAAGCCACGCTTACTACGCGGCGGCGCCGCCGGAGATGGCTTCGAACTACGCTTACTACGACAACTCGCCGGCGGCGTCCTCTCCTCCTCCGGTGGGGTACTCGCCGCCGTATTACTACTCGACAGAATCGTACTACGGGTCGATGGAGCAGCCGTCGACATCGACGGAATCTTATGATATGTTCAACGATGAGAACCCAAATGCTTGCGAACTCATGTGACAATTTCGGTGGCGGAGGAGCGGCGGAGCAAGTTCGCCGGAGTTTTTTTATTTTGTTGGGATCATCGGAAATTGATTTTCCGTTTTTTTTTGTTTTTTTGTTTTATATTTTTGTCTTTAATGCTTGTAAGTTAATAAAGATTTTTCGTGCAAGAAAGTGAAGTCTAGTGATCGGGTCCACACATTAATCACCAATTTTAGTCCATTTCGGACTCATCTTTCTATAAAAAAAAAAGTGAAGCCCCTCGAATCCTAAAGTGTCCAGAAAACACACTCAAGATATAAAACTTCTGAGCAATCCAAGTTAAGTGAAAAGTATATTGGAGAGTTATTCATGATATGGTCTCCATATTAATAAATATAAGCTTCTTTCCTACAAAGTTAAAGATCTATCCCTTCATCATTAGCCTTTAAAGTGTGATTTTAAGTAATTATAAAGATACTTGAATATAGTAAAACTGAGAATTAATTTAGTCATTCAGAGGTTTTTCGACCGCTCCCCCGCTTTGACTCCATCGGTACTTGTCGGTCGGTCTAAAAGTCGATTGTCGTCATGCTGGAAACTCTCTGACACGTTCTTCCAATCGTTTGATCCAAATGCATTCTTCGTTAGCGTCTGATTCATTTGGTCAGTAGTACCTTCCTTTTCGAACTGTCTGTTTACTTTGAGATTCGGGCTGATATATTTTTGTATATATATTTATTTTCCTCATTCTTTTGCTCCTTGAAAGCTGAACATCACATAAGGACAAGACGATTTATTCGTTCCAAGGAAATTTAGCAGCGACATGGAAAGTGGAGATTACCGCCTTGAAACCATTCATAAGTAATCGATCGAATACAGCGTTATATGTTGGGAGGGGGGAAGGGGGCAGGCTCTTCTGGTCGTTCGATCCAAATGTCTTCTTCACTAGTGTCTGAACCATCCAATCATTAGTGTCTTCCTTCTAAACTATTGATTTGTTTAGAGATTCGTGCTGACATATTTTTGTATACAAAGCTATTTTGGAAAATTTACACACTTAGGACCAAAAATATTGTTATTAACAAATTTAGTACCGTCGAATGGTTTGATCTTGGCAGAAGTAAATAAACAAATTTGGTAGTTCACAAATCTTGGCAGAAGTAAATAAACTAGATTTTATAAATATCAATGTTTCATGTGCTACTTACTTTTTATTTGAAGATTTACTTTCATATTACATAATTTTTATGCATATCTACAATCTAAATTTTAATGTTTCTTTTTATAACATTCAAGTATATAACATCACAGTCTAAAAGTCATTAAAAATAAATTTTTAAAGCAAAATTCATATTTTTCCTATATATATATATATATAGTCTTGGAGGATTCAGCCAAACTCATCATATGAATTTGTTCAATTGAATTGATGTTTAGAAGGGCTAAGAATTTGTCATCAACCCTTAGATATATTTTGGAACGTTTAGCAAAGTGCATAAATGTTCAACTCATAAAAAAAGCTAGTGGTCACTTTTTTAGAGACTTATTCATATTTATGTCACATCTAAGTATGGACTTGGTAAAATCTCTTTATCTATATTGTAAAATAATAATTCTTGTTCGTCATTTAATTATATATTCGTCGATAATATTTATTATAATCAGATTGTTAATTGAATTTGATGTTAACAAAAATCACTGTCATTCACTATTATAGATAAAATCAACTCGGGTTTGGCCGAGTTGGCATGAGTGTGTGACTCAGCTATTATAAATAAATAAATAAATAAACATTATGTGAGAACCACAATCACTTCCATCTACTTTGAATAAATAAATAAATTTAAGTTAATAGAGCTAACTCACCTAAATATTAGTTTATTTGGATAAAAATATATGATGATAATTCAAAGCTCTACATCCTTTCAATGTGTTGTTGCTCAATGCTGACAATATCTTTTACTTGTTATTCTCGCATGTAAAATTACTTGCCAATAATTTGGTTTCATGATGAGGTGATTATGCTTTCTATGGGCACTAGCAGTGTTTCATTGTGTGTGTTGTCGTTCCGAGGTTATAATTGTTCATGATGAAGTCATTAACATATGACATTATTTGTAGTGTTATTGCTAAGAGATAATGTCGATTATGTCTTAATCCTCTTTTAAAGCACATGCACATAAGATATTATGGACCATGTCTCAGTCCTCCTCTATATCACTTATATATGATATGATTGGCATCATTGTTCATTTTTCTAACTTCATCAATGTTTGTATTGCCTCTATGTAATATATAGTGACATCGCTTTGAAAGTTGAGAGGGAAACAAACCAATGTGCATTTTCATATGATATTATAAGTTTCCTAAATTTCTTCTAAACCATGTTCTTCTTTCTAGATTTTTTCTCTTAGAAACATCTATCTTTCAACATATATGTCTAGAAATTTAAGGCCAAGGTAAACATAAATAGCTTAAAATAAGACATATAATGGTATTTTACTATCTCTTTGTATATCATACTCCTCTTATGTATAACATATCACATAATAAACATGCTTGAAACTATTGATTTTATCAAAGTATCGCTCTTCTAAAAAACAAGCTAGTATTAGGGTTTTGAATTTCACTCAAACATTGGATATCGCCCAAATATTCGATGACAGTTTATTCTAAACAACTTCAAAGAGTTGATTAATATGCCAAGTCTAACTATATCGAATCTGAGCGTATATGAACTTGGACCTGATTAAGCCTTTTCGATAACTAGCTGAAAACTTTGTTTGCATGCATGAATACATATGCAAATATACTTTATATGTGTATTTAGTTTTAAATGTTCTAATTTATGTTACATCTATACTATTTATATTACCATAATTTAGCTTGTGATATGATTAAATGATTGTTTGAGATTTTCTAAAGTTAAAATTAAAATAATTTATGATTAGATGGTTAACAACCCCAACAATTTTGTTAAAAATATATTATTTTTAAATGTGGTTTGCTTTACTTAAGGAGCAACTTTGTAGGGAGAACCCCCACAACAAAAAATATGGCCAACTAAACCAACAAATTTAGGTCAAATGTCGTGCTTTGTTGTGGCCCATATCGCACTCCTCCATTGTTGGTGGATAGAAAGCACAGGACTTTCAGCCTTTCATCATGGGAAGATTTACAAACAAACAGCTCAGTTCCTATGTATTTATATATCCAACACCTAAAGTTCAATTTTTATTTGCATGCATCACCTTTCATCTACATGAAAATGTGTATTTTATTTTTTAAAAAAGTTAATATATTGGTGTGCGTGCCCGCACGCATTAAAAGTTATAAGCTTTCTTTGTAATATTTAACTTTCACCAAAAAATGAACATCAAACATGAATCTCGAGGCATGACACAGATAAGATCAAGAAATATTCACATCTAAGGAAGCTGGTTCCACCCTTGTTTATTGTTGCCAAGAACTACAATCAGATTACGGCTGTGCAATTTTGTAATTTCTTTTCCCTAATTCACGAGAAGAGTGAACTTGTGTACTCACCATTCATAGTAGACTATTTCAACTATGTTAGATCCCATAGTTCAAAGGTCCATGTAAAAAGTTGATATGTCTACTCATGCTTACTTTTCTTTAAATACTTGAGTGTTTGATGTTTCTTCGTGCAATGCTAAGACGATAAATAATAATTACTCTACCGAAGCGAATCTTCTAGCATGCATCTATTTCATAATACTCAATTCCTTTGTATTTACATATCTAACACCTAGACCTCAATTTTTTTCATACATGCCACCTTACATTGACATACCTAAACATGAAAAGTTATATATATGTAAATACATAGGATTTGGATGGTATGTCTGTAAATGTCCCATTTATTTATAATGAAAATTATTCATAGGTGGAGGTGGGAGTGGTTGAAGATTCCAAAAGAAGTTCATTGAGATTCTATAAATTATATTAATTTAAGTGTTGTTTGTTATTAGGTGACCATATAAATTGAATTATATGCTGACAAAATGCAAATTAAATTTTTTATTTATTTATTTATTTATTTATTTGAGAGTATCTGAATCTATTTGGTGGGATTGGCTATTGGAACCTTGAGGCAATGTTGACTTTTCTATTATGGGGGTGAATTATATTTATGGACTATTAGAAAGTTGGGAGATTTACACACTAGCCCTCAAAATATTAGATTTTACATGAGGGTTTGTGAAAGATTTAAAAAGCAAATTAATTTATTGGTATTGTGATGTATGAAATTTTGAGATTATTTATGTGATTTTAAGAAAATTATATCATTTATCCAATTCAAAACATGGTATATTATGAGGAAGTATTAGTCTTATTTATTTTAAGAGATTAACAGTTTTATAAAGGTATATAATTGTTGAATGTTAGAAAATTCGTAGCGGTAGAGTGATCATTTAACGTCTTAGTGTTACACAAAAGTATAAAACGCACGTTGATAATAGAAAAGTAGCAAGGGAAGCTACCACGAATTTTTATGTGAGAAAATCTTGAAAAAGGAAGAAATCATGAGGTCTGACTCTGTTTAAGTAACTCATTATGAGTTTGTAAGTACGTAGGTTCACTCTTCTTGTGAATTTAGATAAAATAGAAATTCAATGCTGATATTATAAATGTACAATAATAGTTTAGTTATAATTGTTGTAATTTGGCTACAACAAATGTAGTTGAAATCACATACTATGAAATTTCTTCTCTTTTCTTCCTCCTTCATGAAGAGAGTGCAGATCTATTTATAAGCTTCATGTGTGGCATGGTCCGTAAATATTTCATGAATCCAAACCATTCCATCGGACAATCTATAGTGATCTTTTTGACTGAATGATGTTTTTTAAGTATTTTAAGTGTATTTATGATGTCAAAATTGAGTGATTTTGTACTTGTTGGATTCGTCTCGTTGAAACTATAGATTTGAGTATAAACTTATTAGATTTGAAGTCTATTTAGTCATTCAATTGACGGTTCAAAGCCTCCAATTGTGCTTAAACGGCTTAATGTGGCCTCTATCGAACCTGGATTTGAACCATTTAGAGTCATTTGGCTCGTCTTGTTGAGACACTCAGTTTGGTTATAAGTTTAATGAAATTGGAGCTTGGATGACATTGACTTCATATTTGGAATAGTTTCTTACTGAACTTGTTTTGAGAATCATGCATGATTAAAATAAATTTATGAGAAAATATCAATAATATTTATGATGATCTTA